CATTTATTGCCAGTATCCTGTTAACTGCAGCAGAGGGGCTGCTGTCTGTCCCTGTCCAGCACCACCTTCCTGATCCTGTCAGAAAAGAGCAGCATCGGGGCAAACCACAGCCCAAGTCTCAGTGTCTCCCAGACGCCAACTGCATATACTTTAAAAATATTTTTTAGGAAGTCAGCTTCCAATTACTTGAAGAGAAAGATCCATCTTTTTTTCATCAAAAGCAAGAATAAAGCGGAATTTTCATTAAAATGAAGGAAGCACTCAAAGGTCTCCTGGGACGTACAGATCCAATTCTCTAGTGTAAAATACAAAGGGAAGCTTTTGGTTTTGTTTTTAATGTTTTAAAAGATGAGTGTGGATAAAGTTTTAGGAGGTGGACTGTGTGCCACAATGAAGACAGCTCCCATCTCAGCCTTTACAGCCTCACGCTGGCCCGGAGTTACTCCCCTGCACTGAAGAAAGCAGACAAGGCTCGTGACGTTATCATCAACGGTGGTTTTGAAAGTAAGAAAACAGGCTGGGTGCAGTGGCTCATGCCTGTAATCTCAGCACTTTGGGAGGCCTAGGTGGATGGATCACCTGAGGTCAGGAGTTCAAGACCAGCCTGACCAACATGGTGAAACCCCATCTGCACTAAATTAAAAAAAAAAAAAAAATTGCCAGGCGTGGTGGCATAATCCCAGCTACTTGAGAGCCTGAGGCAGGAGAATCACTTGAACCCTGGAGGTGGAAGGTGCAGTGAGCTGAGATGGTGCCATTGCACTCCAGCCTGGGCAACAGAGGAAACTCCATCTCAAAAGAGAAAGAAAAAAAGAAGGAAGGAAGGAAGGGAGGGAGGGAGGGAGGGAGGGAAGGGAAGGAAGGAAGGAAGGAAGGGAAAGGAAGAGAAAGGAAGAGAAGAGAAAACAAAAGAAAGAACACAGCATTCATACAACAAAAGAAGCAGCCTAAGAAGTTGAGCTCATGAGTACTGACTGCTGACAGTCATTCTGGGTCATTCTGCTAGGCATAAAATTAAAGGGAACTGATGGATGAGAATTTTCAGAGTAATATTTTCTTGTGAAAGTTGGATTCTTTCCCCACACACAGAAGTTTGCATCTGCTGTTGTTGCTCTTGTGGTGAGGACACAGGTGCTGACGTCATGCTGACAACCCAGCCGGGGCCGTGGAAAATTCCCCAAACGAGCACCAGTTCCCCACATGCCGTCGTGCCCACTCACAGGATACCACTGCCATGTTTCACAGAGGAAAATGGATACTTTTTGACTAAAAGACGAAAACTTTTATGAAAAATAACTCATGTGTGGCAAATGTAGAAATTAAAGCCATCAACATTTTATCTTTATATGGAAAGTGGGTACAGCTACACAGAAACACACAGCAAAGTTTTTATAGGGTCAATTAATTAAAAAATCTAATTCAGAAAATTATTTATAGACACCTTTATCATTCAATTTTTAATTTTTTTTTACTTTGGGTTAGAAACATAGAAGCCCTTCCTGATAATGTTTCTTTTTAATTATTTAAAACCAATATCTCTTGAATATCCATAGGTTAAAAAAAGAACAGTGAAATGCTATTTAAATCTCAGACTTTATACAGAAATTAACACAAAATGGATCATAGACTTCAAAATATATCAAAGGCAAAGTGATAGAAAAAATAGAGGAACACATCAAGATCTAGGTGTTGGCAGAATTCTTAGACTTGACATCAATACCATGACCCATAAAAAGAAAAGATGATAAATTTAAAACTTCTGCTGCTCGAAGGACCCTGTGAAGAGGAGAAAAGTCAAACGAGAGACTGGGAAGAATTTTGCCAATCATATACCTGACAAATGACTATTACATAGAATAAAGAACTCTTGAAACTCAATCTTAAAAAACAAACAAAAAAATCCAAACTACTCCATTAGGACGTGAGCAAAAGGCATGAACAGACATTTCACGGTACAGATGGAGATAATCACCAGACAAGGTACTCTCATCGTTAGCCTTCAGGAAACAGCAAGTGAACACCACAGAAAGCTGTCACCACACATCTATCAAGAAAGCTAAAATAAGACAGAGGGACCGCACCGAATGCTGGAGAGGACGTGGAGAAACTTCATCACCCACACATGGTCGGTAGGGATGACAGACAGTACCGCCATGCTGGAAAAATGCTTGGCAGTTTCTTATAAAACCAAACTTACAAACACCATATGTCCCAGTACCATTTATACTCTTGGGCATTTTTCCTAGAGAAACGAAAACTTATAACCACACAAAATCCTGTTCATAACAGCTCATAGCAGCATTGTTTGTGACAGTAAAGTCTGGAATCAACCCAGACGTCCTTCAGTGGGTAAATGGTGAAACAAACTGTTACATCTGTACCATGAAATTCTACTCCACCGAAAAAAGGGACTGAATTATTGACATAGGCCACAACTTGGATGAATCTCCGGAGAATTATGTTGAATGAAAGGGTCCTTCTCAGAAGGCTGCACACCACCTGATTGCACTCATTTATAGAACATTCTTGAAGGGAGAAGGTCAGGTTAATGGAGAGCAGGTTAGTGGATGCCAGGAAGTAAGAATGAGGTTGGGATGTGTGGGTATGTTTGTAAGGGGAGCAAGGGGGATTCTTGTGACAATGGACATTCCCTATCTTGACCACATCAATGTCCATATGCTGGTTGTTCTAATGTCCTCTAAGTTTGCAAGATTCTACCACTGGGTGAAAGTGGGTAGAGGATAAAAAGGACCTCTCTGTATTATACCTAATGCCTGCCTGGGAATCTATAATTATCTCCAAATGAAACATTTTATTATGAATGTATTTACTCATTCAACAGAGAAAAGGAGGACTTTAATGGGAAAAAAAGAGAATTGATGACATTTTATCCTAAGAAAAATAACACACTGAACATATGATGTAATTTACATATTCCATATAAACATGTAATTTAATAACTTACCATCTTAAAACGCAATGTTAACATATTTGAGCTCAAATATTTTTAAAAATGAGAGATTACAAAGGAAATCAGCTTCTTATCAGGATAATGACCCACAAGATCTCCAATGTTAGAATTTCACTGAGATAATGACGTTACTAAGTAAAGAAATGAAGAACGTTGCTAACAGACACACACACAATTGTGAGAAGCCGAGGGCGGAGTGGGGTATGTTTAACTCTGGAAGTATCAGGCCTAGGCAGTAAACTCAGCTCTGCTCCCTATGGAGTCCTGTGGCCTCCACACAGAGTCACCGCTGGCTCTCTTGAGCTTCAGAGCCTATTTTGCTAGGCCCTGCTCTATACTTCCTAAAACACCACTGCACAGTTGCCAGTCGTAAGAGTTCAACTGCCAAAAAGGTTGAATTATGCTAGAATGAGAACACAGCAGTGTTTTGCATTTCCTCTTATTCCTTGTGATTGTGAAACTAAAGCGAAAGAGATCATTTCAACCCTAATTCTGCACATCAGATATTTCCCATGTAATAATAATAATAATAATAATTATTATTATTATTTTTTTTTGAGACGGCGTCTCGCTCTGTCCCCCAGGCTGGAGTACAGTGGCACGATCTTGGCTCACTGCAAGCTCCGCCTCCCGGGTTCACGCCATTCTCCTGCCTCAGCCTCCCAAGTAGCTGGGACTACAGGCGCCGCCACCACGCCCGGCTAATTTTTTGTATTTTTAGTAGAGACGGGGTTTCACTGTATTAGCCAGGATGGTCTCGATCTCCTGACCTCATGATCCACCCACCTCAGCCTCCCAAAGTGCTGGGATTACAGGCGTGAGCCACCGCGCCCGGCCTCCATGTAATTATTAAAGGAAAAACAAACACAAATATAATGAAAGAAGAAGAAAAGTTGTAGTTCAGGTGACATCGGTAACCACGTTCCTCTCTTGGTTTTTATTTTTTGAGGGAGACCATGTTTGGATAAAATGAAAGCTCATCCGTGTGCATCTGGGACTGACCAATGTCCCTGGGCTGTCTAAGCGGGCTGGTTCCCTCGTCTGGTCAGGGGCTGGGCCTCAGCGGAGGCAGGGACACTGGCTTTACCTCCAACCCTGGTTTCCTTTGCATTTTGCCCTGTGGTCAATTGAGTGAACTGTGTTTTATTCGTGTGTTGGTCAAATCCCAAACATTCTGATCCTGACAGCACTAGAATTTAGGGGAAAATAGAGCTAGGAGTCTTTGCTCAGCCTCTGAGTTTACACCAAGCCCTCCAAGTTAGACCTGAGCCAGAACTCTGCAGTTGAGTAGCCAACTTCTATACAACTTCTAATCATTTTTTAAATGCCTTGGGTTCCCACTCTGCTATCAGCTTATTTGAAGATAGCTCCTGTGGGAGCCCTAAGGTAAGAGAGGTTCTCGTCAGAGAAAGAGACATTGATACGTTCCTGGCTTTAATTTCATCTTACTACCATAAAAAAATACTTGCCCTTCACACTAAAGTACAAGGCACCATCAGTAAGAGAGATGTTTAATGGAAAGTAATTGAAATGAAATCTTAAACATTATGAGCTCAAACATCTAGAAAGGCAAAAAAGACAGAACAGAATTTTCTTGGAAGCTCAGATTTAGCCCAGGTCTCTGTGACTATGTTTAAAGAAATGAATCAAAAAATAAGTAACTGAAAATTAAAAACAGTAAGAGCTTCGTAAAGACATTCATAAAATTAGAAGCATAACGGCCCCCCCAGTGCTAACTATACAGGGTAGAAATAAACATGTAAATGAATGAATAAAAAGAGGAATGGAAGATGAGTTATCTTTAAAGGAGAGAATTCCAGATTTTCGTGATTGAACATCTGGCCACAGACAGGAGAAAGCCACGGAGAGCTTGGTGCTTACTCTCGGAAATGCTTTCACACCTGAATGGTGAGAGTTTGCAGAACTCTTTATGCATCGCCCTGGATTCATGGAGACAGCCTCTTTGGTGTTACTGGGCAGCCTACAACACTCCCAGAGCAAAGGGCTCATTCCTGGATGCTTTTCCTACCTCGACACGTGGGCAGAGGGCTACTCCACTGGCCGTTGCTCCGACACTGGGCTCGAGACACACCCTGCAACAAATAGCCCGTGTTACAGGTGAAATTCACGACATCATTCAGGTTGAACTCGCTGCCATTAGTGAATCCGTGGGCAGGGTTTCCAGGGTGACCACATGTGATGGCTGTAGAGAGACAGGTCAACGCCATTGTTAAATATCGAACAGGTCATCACCTTCACTTGGGATCATTTACTAAGAAACATGCAGGCATGCTAACTGCATGGACTGAAGGTTTTCCACTAATCAGGCAGTTTACAGATGGCATTTATATTCGGAAGGGAATATTGGGAGCTAGAACCACAGGCTGACCCTACAGGCTTTTAATATAATTGTGGAAAATAACAAACACCTGCCAAATGCACTTTCTTCATCATCATAATTATTACTTCTCTCTTGAATCATGACAGAATACCAAATGCTTTAAAAATGAAGCAGTGAAAAACAAGAGATGCTAAAAATTCTTGTATTAATCATGAGTTTTGAATATTTTCTCCATACACACCAGCTGAGTTTGCGAAGCCCTCCTTTTGAGACAGTATGGGGATTTGTTTGATACTTTAAATTGTCCATGTATAAATTATTGCAATATCAATTTACACATCATGAAATTAGCAAAATAACTAAGCACACTCAGGTCCTATTTTGTTGAGAATCTCTGTCGTATGATCCTTTGAAATGCAGGGAACTGTCATTATGTCATGACCCAGATAACAGCAAGACAGATCAGGGAGAGATATCCATCATTCGCCCTTTCAAAAGAAACACACTACAGTCATAAAACTGGTGTTTTCTTCCCCATTTATCTTGTCAACAATGTTTTTTCCTCTAAGTAAAGCTTTAACCCTTGAACTTTGTACATTTTCACAGCACTGTTACATATAATCCTTGTCACTGTTTTATTAACATTTCTTTTGTCTAATTCAAAGGAAAATACACAATATTTTAGAAAAACAATTGGTTTAGGGGAAATTGGACAATAAAGTGAGAGTATATTACTCTAAAAACAGTCAATATTTATCTCTGAAGTTATGTAGTTCAACGTTGATCATTCATTACATGTAATTTTACGTCTTTCTTTTTTTTTTTTTTTTTGTTTGGAAAACAGAGTCTTGCTCTGTCGCCCAGGCTGGGGGGCAGCGGCGCGATCTCTGCTCACTGCAACCTCCATCTCCAGGGTTTAAGCAGTTCTCCTGCCTCAGCCCCTCCTAGTAGCTGAGATTACAGGTGCTGCCACTATGCCAGGCTAATTTTTATATTTTTAGTACAAATGGGGTTTTGCCATATTGGCCAGGGTGGTGGTCTTGAACTCCTGACCTCAGGTGATCCACCCGCCTTGGCCTCCCAAAGTGCTGGGATTACAGTCGTGAGCCACTGTGCCTCGCCAGTTTTACCTCTTTCAAGTAAAAGAAAGAATGCTTACAAAACTCCCTATATTCTTGACGAAACAATGACAAAAATACACGTAACATGGATGAGGCAGGAAGTGGCGCTATTTCTAAGACTGCAAAGCTGCCCAGCAGACCCCAGACCCTGCACCTCTACCCTCCTACAATCAGCTTTTCTCTCCACCCAGTTTATCCTGTGATAATATCAGGGAGGAGGAATCCATGACACTACTTAGCCAGGGATCCATTGAAAATGAATTAATAAGCAAATTAAATGTGGAGTCAGAAAAAGGAGTTTGAAGGAAAGAAAATGGGAAGGAGATCCAAAGAAAGGAAAGCGTGCACATGACAGCTCTCCCGTTCTCTTTCTTTGTACAGGCAAAACCGAAAGTTTGCTGCTCTGTTTCACAGTGAAGATTAAACAGGTGTGTATTGTGACCTAATAACCAAAGACACTGTGGCAAAAGGAAGCATGTGATGAATTCATCCACAAAGAGTGCACTTACGGACACAGACAGGCGTTTGTCCAGACCACTTATGGTCTTGCAGGCATATCCTCACGGAAGTTCCCACGAGCCGGAAACCAGGATTGCACTGGTAAACCACAGTGTCTCTGTAACTGAAACCATCTCCACTAATGTGACCATTCACAATTGGGTCTGGGGAACCGCAGTGGCCAGCTAAAAGCATAAAACCAATTTTAAAATTTAGAGTGTTTGTCATTTATAAAAGTAGTACCTTCATAACTTACTTTTATTATCAAGTCAATAACAGTATTAAAGGCATAACTTATTGAAATCTTTCTCTTCACATATATATGCATACTTCTAGTTTTTCTTCTTTTTATCATTTTTTTTCAGAAATCGTAGATAAAATAATATTTCTAATATGAAATGGTTTGTATTTTCCTAGTTGTGATTTTCCCATCTATTCATTTCACTTATTTTGCTTACCTGTATTCTGTTATTTACCTTGTTATACTATTTTCAAATCAAAGCAAAAAGTAAAGAAGGAATTCTTGGAATTAGCATGAACAGGGCTTCTTAACGTATTGATTATGGGTAGTTAGGAGATTGGTGAGGAGGGCTTCTAATCTGACACACTAGAAAATCAAAAATCAAATTACCTGTGAAATTCCAAGTGGAAAGAAAGGGATCAGAGAATAAGTTCAACTTGAATTACGAAAATCTGAGTTACGAGTGAGCCGATGTCTGGGTAAAAACGGCCCAGAATCAGTTGAAAAGAGAAGTGTAGAGTTTGAGGGACAGATGTGCTGAAGTTAGTGTGGGCTTGGGAAAACAGGAGCATGCACAGCTGACGATTCAAACTAACAGGTGGCAGGGCTTATCCAGGAGCACAGTGAAAGAACAGGAAGAAGGGCAAGATCGGGGCAGGCGTCTTTACTTAAGGGGAGAAGAATGTCCACGCAGACAGTCAAACAACTGACAAACATGGCATTGAAAGAGCTTTAGTAGCAGAGCTTCCACATGGAGAAGGATCCTCTGACATTATTCCACTCCCTCCCACCTTTTTTTTTTTTTTTGAGACAGGGTCTTGCTTTGTCACCCAGGCTGGAATGCAGTGGCATCATCACGGCTCACTGCAGCCTCAAACTCTTGGGTTCAAGTCATCCTTTGGCTTGAGCCTCCTGAGGAGTTGGGACTACAGGTACGTGCCACCATACCCGAGTAGTTTATTATTATTATCAGCAGTACTAGTAGTAGTAGTAGTAGTAGTAGTACTAGTAGTAGTAGAGACGGGGTCTCATTATGTTGTTTAGGCTGGTCTTCAATCCCTGAGCTTAAGCAATCCTCCTGCCTCAGCCTCCCAAAGGGCTGACATGACAGGTGTGAACCACCACAACTAACCATTTTATTACCTTCTCTTCCGTCTCCTTCTGCCTCTTTACTGCTCTCACTTTTCCTTCTTTCCTCCAACTTCTTCTGTTCTCTCTCTCCCTTCCTCACATATATGGAAAGGGTATTCTTATTAAATCAACAAAATACAAAGGCTTAAGGGTAACTTACATGAACGGGACCTGTTACACCTGGGGTCTGGATTCGCAAGAAGAGGAAAACATTCGCTGTGAGTTCCTAAATAATCATCTTTGTCACTGTCCTATAGTTGCATCAACATTTATTTTGCTTAATTCACAGGAAAATAAAGAATAAATCAGACAAACAATTGGTTTAAGAGGAATTTTGCAATAAAGTGAGAGTACACCTATTCTCAAAGTAATAGTCAATATTTATCTTTGAAGTTATAGAAAGGAACTTATCATAGGGAAACAGCTACAGAAGCCTGGGGTCCATGCAGAATATCAAGGTGGAGATTTTCTCTGCCCACTTATTTCCCCAACAGGGAACACAGCCAATGATGCTCCACACAAGTTCCTGCACACCCAGATTTCAGAAATTGCAAAATTGTTGTCATACTCCTTTGGGATTAAGTATACCCTTCTAGGGAAATTTAAAATCATAATCTGTATTTCTGCTTAAGATAAAGTTTAGAAACATTGTGTTCTCCTATTTTGGAGAACAAATTTATTATTAGCAAGGTAACATTGCAGAGGAAAGAGAGAGAAGAGAATCTGATTTCTGCCTCAACTCGTAGAAGAGATTAGATCACAAAAAGCCAGGCTAGATTTGGCTAATTTTAGTGCATTGGCAGGTATTCCAGTCAATTGGATTAGTAAGTCAGTTCTGGGGATCTGTCCCAATCACTCCCACACATGAGACTTGATACAAGCAGAGAAGGTGGATGAGGGTGAATGTTGTCCATATTTTGAAGAGAGACCCCCTGAAGCCGCAAGTGTTACCAAAGGCACAGAGGACATTGGCTCTGAAGGTTCCCCCTTTCCAGACACTGTCCTTTGCATAACATGCTCTGTCGTGCATGGGGGAGATGGAGTCATCATTCCAGTCCTAGAGACAGGGAGATGAGGACTGGTGAGAGCCAGAGGAGCCCATCAGCCCAGCACAAGAAATCCCAGCCGTTTCTGAGGTGAGGCATAGAATAGCCAGTTTCTAGAAACACACAATAAAATGACACCAACAATTCCTTTTGGGATTACTTCTGAAGCCTGGAACTACTCCAAGAGGAGGGGACTTGGGACCAAAGGTAACAGCGATGTGAAGAGGGGTGCATTTTAATAGAGTCCGTCTCATTTTAGATAATCTGTTCAGGCCTCATTCTTGACTTAGAGAAACATGACTCCTTTGAAGCCTTACTATTTTTCTAAACTGAGTTTTTCATAAGTACACATAGTTTGAAGTTGCAGTCTTCTTTGGGAACCTGGCAAACAAGTACTTGTAATGGTCAAGGAAGCACCTGTGTACTCTAGAACAGGCAGGAAGCCTGACAGCCAGGATTGTAAATAAAGATTCCCAACAGCAACTCCTCTCTGACACATTGTCATTTCAGTTCTCTGAGGAATTGGCACCAAATGCCTAAAGAAAACAGAGGATGTCCTTCAAAAACACTGCATTTTACCTCCTTGCCTGATGAAAAAACAAAGTTACGTATCAGCAGGATTGCCTAGTATCTAAGCTTGCTAATATGGAACAATTATTTCTTCAATGAGGCTTCCTATTTTGAAACAAGGAGATAGCAATCTGGTTTTCACTTATTTTCACTGCCCAGCCATCAGTTAATTCTGTTTTAAAACATTCAAAATCTTAGACCAATTGTAGGTTATTACACCTAGAGGATAACCACACAATTTCACTCACAGAATACTATTTAACCCAAATCTCAATGATATCGTGTCAATATGTTGAGGAAGGGAAAATTGCATTAGGAGGAATTTGAACTTAATGAATTTTGAGCTCTATTTTAAATTTAAGATTCTATTAGTCTATGATAGTATTATTCTATATGCTTTGTATGTGAGTTACTTTTTATTTTAATATCCTTAATGTAGTCTTGGTTTTGAGTCATCTACACAAAACCTAGAAAGCCTCTCTCTCTTTCATCAGAATGAAATGTAATATGTTCATGCTTCTCTGCAGTGTCTCTAACACATTAGTCACTCACTGAGTACTTGTTTAAATGAATAGAAATAGAATAACCTCACCACTGGGCAGTCTCGCTCTGTTGCCCAGGTTGGAGTGGAGTGACATGATCTTGGCTCACTGCAAGCTCCACCTCCTGGGTTCATGCCATTCTCCTGCCTTAGCCTCCCAAGTAGCTGGGACTGCAGGTGCCCACTACCATGCCCAGCAGCTAATTTTTGTGTTTTTAGTAGAGACGGGGTTTCACCTTGTTAGCCAGGATAGTCTCGATCTCCTGACCTCGTGATCTTGGCCTCCCAAAGTGCTGGGATTACAGGCATGAGCCACTGTGCCCGGCCAAATTCATATGATTTTTAATCCAACGTATATAGATAGATAATGTAAATATATCCTCATGGAATTGCTGCATTTTCTTTTAGCTCAAGCATGAATTAACAATTCAATTACTACCACACTTTACGAATTTTACATTTTAATTCTTCATTTTCTCCATGCTGAGGACAGGTATGACTGTGGACGGGGTAATTCACCAACTGCTTAAAACTGTTGAGAGAACCAGTGACAAAACCAAGAATGAAATGGTCTGCTCCGGTGACTCCGTTTTCCGCACTATACTACAAAACATGTCATTGGAATAAGAATACTGTGGCCAGGCGCAGTGGCTCACACCTGTAATCCCAGCACTTTGAGGGGCTGAGGTAGGTGAATCACCTGAGGTCAGGAGTTCAAGACCAGCCTGGCCAACATAGTGAAAGCCCATCTCTACTAAAAATACAAAAATTAGCCAATCGAGGTGGCACATGCCTGTAGTCCCAGCTGCTTGGGAGGCTGAGGCAGAGGAATTGCTTGAACCTGGGAGGCGGAAGTTGCAGTGAGCTGAGATTGTACCACTGCATTCCAGCCTGGATGACAGAGCAAGACTGTCTCCAAAAATAATAAAAACAATAATAATAATAATACCATGAAACCTCAGAACCACTGAGGTGTTATATGTATGGACTCTGCAGTACACTGGGTGGGTCCTAGGAATCTCGACGTCTTTCCTGCGTTACAAAGAGTTTCCGTACCCTAAGCTTTGAAAATCACTAGTTTTTCAGTCTACTCTATTCTGTGTCTGACGAAAGTTTTGTTACTGTTTGTATTTATAAACTGCTATTATATTTTGGTTAAAATGTCTCAAATAGAAAAAAGGTGAGTTTTTTTTTTTAACAATCTTTCTCTAAAATTGGATTTGAAAGAAATAAAATCTACCAAACGTTTGAACAAAGCACAGAGACTGGTAGCAAGATGGATGGAATATTGAGTCCATTTTCATAGCAAAGAAATAGAGTATGTTGCAAGCAAAATGTCAGGAAGAAGGCTCGAGAAGGAGGAAAGGCCTAGTTTCTTGATTGGTCAAGGTTTGCCTGCAAACTACATTTGTGCCACAGCACTCAGGAGGGCAGAAAGGGACTGAATTCCCTCTGTGAGGTCAGTTTAGTCTGAGGTTCGTTAGGGACAGACACAGGGGAAACCACTCACTCCATTAACACCCACACAGTGTGGCCCACACTTAGACCAGGGGACGTTGCACACCTGCCGTTTACAGAGTTTAACACAGGAGAGCAGGGGCCTCCGCAAGGACAGCCTCTCAAAGCCTTTGTTTCTAGAGTTCCATCTCAATTCCA